CTCCTTTGATTAGTTATAATGTGCATGTACTGCTAGTTACAATAAATATGCGCGTTGAAGACCACCCCAAGAATTTCGCTGCAACAGAAATAACAAACGTGATCACTTTCCTTTGCCTCTCAACACTTGACCGTGGAACGTTTCACGAGTATCGAATATCTTGACACTGGCCAATTGCTATGCGACCTTTTATTCCACAACAAACGTCAATGGCGCGGGTTTACACGAAAGCGTAACATCACGATGACTAATTGTACAAACAGAGTTGTCAAGCAGAACACACAGAAAGGTTATTTTCTTATACCACGTAAGTATTTGACACTGGAGACTTCAGGTGGAATTTTCGAATCCAGGAGTATGTAAATATCAGTATCTTGCGGTACTCATTGAAAACGTTGGTGAAGTGAAAATAAAACGAGGTTCACTCTGCGATAAGGTGCGATTTCCACGTACTAGGCCTATACGCTATCATGCATTTGAGTCTCAGATGGGACTGTACTCATTCTTCCGACCGGTAAAATCTTCCCTTAGTAATGTTAAGGTCAGCATACCAATATATCACACATGTAAGCGTTCAAAAACTTATCAGAACTGAATCACAACTTCTTTCGAGGGCGTAGGGGAAAAAAAGAAATCTACAGTTTGGTTCAAGGAGATTGACAATTTCTTCATGACGCGATGTGAATATCGCCGCTATGTAGTGACTTTTGGGTGGCACACTATAAAGAATCTTACAGCAATATATACAGGCCAAATAGTCAAATCTATAGATGTGAGAGAAAGAAACAATATCCCAAAGTGAACACTGTCGTAGGAGACTATTCGAATGGGCATCTTAAATAAGCACACCCAAAAGGAAAAAGTTGGAGCTAAGAAGTAAGATTTCTGATACGACATGCACGATGTCGCCTTGTCTTCGCCAAGGAAACCTCAATCCACTTTTAAACGTTTCGCTTGAGAGCTAGAAAACAAAAACAAAAACCCAGATACATCCGAACTTCCAGCAGAGTGTAGCAAAAGCAAAATCTTTCATTACTCTGAGCTATGGGGCTACAGTATGTCCCAACAGCGAGGGCGATGACCAAGGGGGGGGGGAGGCCGTTTTCCTTCCTTTCCATTTCCTCAACTACTTTATCAAGCAGTGAGCATGGCCTAAGTGCGCCATCTATGGCCTATGGACAATATTCAACATCAATGACTTCAACATAGCTCATTCTTGTTCTTCCCTTACTGCCCTTTGGGTGTGCGAAACTAATGGATTGGAATTTGAGACTTTATTTCTGTTAGGATTAAAAACCTGATAGCAATCATGAAGTGGAGAAGACAAAATTTTTTCTGTACCAAGCTTCTCAGTATATCATCAACTGCCGGTTATGCTCTGTTACAAGGTGCATTTATATATTAACCGGTCTTTGTAGGAATTTGGGAGCGTTCTCTTCTGTAGAACCTATTGCAGTTTCTTTTCGACGGGGCTCGGAAACGACAAGGCGACTCGTGGTCTCTGGTCTCCAGAGCGCTGCAGTCATAGATGTGCACAACTATTGTTGAAGCCAAATAGACATTATGGCATTTACATCAGCAGAAGCCCGTTTCCAGAACGACGGCACGTTTACTGCTTCGTCGCGCGCGGGACTTTAGCGATCCCGTATTGCCTAATACGTCTGTGAACTGCAAGTTACTCGAAGTGCTATGGACAGTGAGTTGTGTTTAAACCACTGCCCATGATTGATGTGACTCAAAAATACCGATAGTTTTGTCAGGCAAGTATTTGGGTACTTGGGAATCAAATACAATCAAGATGGACCAACTTTTATTTGATGAGGTGGCTATTAGATCTTCCTTACGTCATTGGCTGGGTTGCAAGAGACGTTGATTTGCGAGCCGAAAAAATGGAGGGAAATAGTGTGTCTCATAACGAATATAATTGCTGAGTGGAATAGCGACAGGCAAAGTTAACATGTTAGAAGTATTAGAGCTTTCACTGTTCACGAAATCTCATTTAAACAGCACTTTTTCCTGCAAAGCGCGGTACAGCCATAGACACATTGATCAACAAAATAACACATTCCAATATACCAAAAAATATATATGCATTTACTTTGATTATGATCGCTGTAAGAGTTCTTTGTTTAGTTATCAAATCAATAAACAGCAAACGCATGTAAGTTTCAAGCACTGGTGAAGCTTCTGCTAACTTTTTTCACACAACAAAAGAAAATTTATCTATAATTTCTACTGCATTATATTAAAAAAAAATAAAGTTTACTCAGAAGGAAGAAGACATCCCAAATACCGTACCCTCTTCTAGTTTACCGTTCACTTTTAACTTCTTCGTCAATATGGCTAACTTAAAGCATTGATCTTTTGAATTAAGTTATTGCTGCGCACAAGGTTGACGTGAAATGAATAGTCCTCGTCAGATTTGGCCATTTTCATGCCCGATTTCATTGCAGTTTAAGATCTTTAGCTTCTTCTCAGTTGAGTGACTCAAGTGAGCGACTCATTCCCCAGGATGGTAACCAGAACTGGACAGGTCTCCCTTCTTTGCATTACCCCCGATGAAATTATGTCCACCGTGTGCAGCCATGCACTCAAGCCTTCTTCTCTGGTGCCACGGTAAAACTACACCCGAAATCCGAGCCACAATTTTTAAGCATGTGCCATGCATTAGTGCATTACGTCGTCGACAGCGTGCATTTACGGGAAGAGCGGGGGTTACATTGGTGTTCCCTGTAGAGAATAAGTTTCAGACTCACTCAGTGGCATGTTGATGATGCGTGACTAAGAAGTGTGCTGCGGATGCTCTGCATAAACTGGCAGTAGGCATGGCCCGTTGAAGTAAAATCATCCGCTTCATCATTCTAGTTCCAAAGCACTGTGTTTATACTGTCAGTCTTAACTTATTAGAGTTGCCTTTTAACGGCCTGCAAACGTTGTAACAACCTGCATAACGATTCCACAATGTCAGTTCCATTTGGAGTTCACAGGCTTCTCAACAGGACGAGCTGTGTGTACGCAGGCTGACATGAATGGCTCCCGAAGAAGGCACAGCGGTGCGTTTAACCTTGCTAAGTTCTACAGCGTGGCAACCGTCAAGGACGGCAACTGTGATCGTGAACAAAATTTCCTCTATCAAATATCAGGCAAAATTGTCATATTTAATGATTGCTAGTTATATCCTGTCACCAATCGTGGAGTGGAAATTTACGTTAGATCACGTCTCTCATCATCGGGATATTTTTAGCAAGCATTTTCACGTTTCGCATGGACGTACCTTTGCGTGGCCGTCTATGGAAAAAAATCTTAATTAAAGAAACTAAAACATTCTTCGTTTGCCATCCAAAATGTAGGCCGATCGGCGAAGTCATTTAGGAACACTTCCGAATGTAGATTCTATAGCAGCCATTCCTTTTCCATGCGTTGTATGTCTAAGTGTCATGCCCTTTGCAAATATTATACACGCATATAAATGTTTGAAACATGGATGGGACTGTACTTGTAACACACGGCGAGACACGATCTCATCATCCATAAATGATTTTGTGGCAACAAGAAGTAAAAGTGGATGTACTAATGGAAGGAAAGGCCGGGGAATATTCCCTACTTAGAAGGTACCAATTTGAAATCTAAATTCGGGAATGGCTGAGTGTCATTCATGTATATGCAGCCCCAAACTATAGGCTAGCAAGTGCTGTGTTTGTAGTAGGAACACATTGTGTGGATTTTTTTCTCTCCTCTGGGTACTCGCATTCTCGTCCCAGTTCTGTCAGGAATATGGATTTCGTAGTTTCCTTTGAAAGCAACGTAGTGAGGACGGAGACGACTTAAGAGATGGAAATCAATGCAGCTATACTTTGGGATGAATAAGCAGGCTAAGTGGATTCCATGTTACTTCCTTGATCACATACTCGGTGATATTCATGGTCAAATACCCGTATGGACCCAATGAAACCAGGCGAGACCATTTACATTAGCTCTCCAATTGCCGTCCAACATGTTGAAATTGAGGATATCCTACACTCATGACTTTTGTCCATCACCCTTGCCCCCCCCGACCTAATTAAATTGTGTTTGTTCATGGCTAGTGGCATGCTCATTTGCTGCAGTTTGTTTGCTTTCGTTAAGTTTTTGGTTGTGGTAACGATGAGCATAGTGGGAGTGGCTGCTACTTGCAACATGCTATCCTTGAAGCTTTAAATTGCAACGTACACTTTTGTGAGCTTAAAGCTTTGGTTATTATGGATTATAGACAGTCAGAGTTGCGTCTGACTTTACACTGCTTTAACCTAACATTTTCTCTAGTGCTATTTTGAAAGCAGAAAGCCTTTCCTAGCGGGTGCACCCAGGGCCCACAAGTTGGCTACCAGAAGATGTCTAGGGGCTGACGAGAGGTCCTCGCGAGGAAATCAACCTGGAAAAGCGACAAACTAAAGGCGACACTCGGGATGTAAATTGACGCTTCATCTTAGTTTGTCAAATTGATGACCGCACGAAGGTTGCACCTTCCTGATACAACTTCACTCCTCCCTATAACGTGCTTCTTGAAATGGCTCGAGTTGTTTCGCTCATATCCTACCCTGAAACATCGAAAACTTTTCAGGTTTTCCCTACTGTCTGGATGCATTATCCCTAACATTCTTTGGAATTCATTCCATAGCTCCGGGGTACAATCACCTCTTGGATAGCATTCTACACATTGAACGTGTCAGATGACTTGTCTCGTAATATTACTACATACATCTCATCTGATCTCAACCCTCTTCCACAGTTTAATCCTCGACAGAAACTAACACAATACGACAACTGACTTGAATTGCCGAACGTTGTTCACGCGACTCTCCAGACATGTAGCACCCGTGGAAAAGATCAGGGAAAGTCTTATTTTACAGTCCAAATTTACAGCAAAACAAAATACTGACACGATGTAGATTGTTCGCGTAAAAAATCTTTTAACCCCACGAGTAACTTGAAGCTTGATTGGTTTTGTACCACAGACTTACCACTTAGGTGCCCACGACGAACGGCTGCAGCAGAAATCCAGACAAGTTGTCGGCTTCAGGCATTTTCTGTCTCAGGTCCACTGAGGCACTGTCCTACGTGATCTATCACGGCACACACGCACGTTCTGTCGATGAGAAACGATTCAAATCAGTGATTTATAACCGCCCTGCGTTACACACTCGAAAGCAATTTCTGGTTACTGTCGAAGTAGAACGGTGACACTTTGCATAAATTAGGAATGTGTGGAAGGCAGGTGCGCGCCGTCAAGAGTTTCTTAATTTAAAGATCGGTACCCTGAACCTTTCTAATTTTGCACATAGTGACCTGGGGATCCATGCATCACTGTCATCGTACACCACGGCAGCGCCTATCGATGGCATTTTTTACCCTCTTGTTAAATGGCCAATTCACGGGCAATTGAATTATTGAGGCAATTCGGCAGTTAGTACCGCAACTGCTGATTGATTGTGTGTAATTAATCGACATTGGGTCGAATACAAAAGTGATAATTTTATAATAGACTTATGTGTCCTCTGGGTCGGGGATTAGCATTAATCATTTCTGGTAATGCCACCAAAGATTCCTCAAAAGCGCCCTTGACACATGTGGCTTGCAAGCCTGAAGAAACCTGTAGAGAGGAGACAGTGAGAAGCAGTAACAGTTTTAGAGATGGGAGGAAAACCCCAGAGGAACATTCTCGGTAAATCCCATGGAATTAGGTAGGGACTGACTTTAGGGACTGAAAACCCAATCCACGTGTGGACCGAGGGCCGGGATTCGAGCCAGGACTGCAGAGGTGGAAGGCGAGGAGAGAACCACAACGTAAATTAACCGCCAAAATATTTTCCCCAAGTTTGTTTTATTTCAAACAAACTAGGGTGCAGTAACTTTAATCAAAAAAATCCGAGCATTACACATTATTTCCGCATCAAATAAGAAAACAAACGAAGAATAAAAGAAAACGAAAGGCAGGATTGCAATCGTAAAGTAGAAGAAAAATGAAAATTTTGACAAAGATTGTTTTAATATCGGAAGAATCAGGACCTTGTCATGTCACTGAATAAATTTAGAAAAAAGACAGGATTTCCTTTTCCTAACGGCATTTTTAGAAAACACAGTTTTTATTTTACATCTTCAGACTTTTTAGCGGAGCAGATAAAATTTAATGTTTACGTTTAATGCTTAGCTTTATCAATACCATCTATACAATAGTAGGAACCAAAAGAACAAAAGGGTACCCATTAATGAAACGATTCCTGCCTCTGCTGTCATATAGGGGTGGGGTCGGAACCAAACTGCTATAGATTTCACTATCGTATCTAGGCCACACGACACCATCTATACTGTAAAATGTTAGGCAAAAGAACGTTGTGTGGGCAAAGCTAAATTGTCCAGATGTTGTTCACTTTTAATGTAAATGATGGTCATTTTCCAAAAGACTGACCCAAAAGGTGGACAACTTGTAACCAACCGTTGGGAGGTTGATATTTGCACCAATTTAGAGCAAAAGTTGGTCAAAATATGGCCAATTGTTTATCTAGTGTTTAGCACTCCAATTCATGTTTCTGTAACAGTCTACTCCAATCCCTGACATGTATGACTTTAGTATCGATTGTCACGTCTTACCATTGCCATACTGTAAACTGAAATTAAACAAAACATCTGCCCGGACACTTATTCTGCAGCCTATTCTAGACTCCAGGCAATTACTTTCATTTCAAAACTTAAGCAGGCCTGACAGCGCGGACATTTTGACCTGACCTATTCATCATTTGGTATCTGAGACAAATGAAAAGCATCCAGAACGATTAAATAAAAAAAAAAACCATGCAGTAAACATCCCATCTGTTTCAACCGACTTGCAGTCCAGCAATCATCACGCTGTTTTTGACAGGTCATTCGATACACCCTCAGGTCCGCTTACGATTCTGTCGCTGTCGCTTGTGGCGACAGTGGAGGACTCCGCACAAACAGTTATTATTCGACACCAAGGAGTATCGAGATCTATTGAGTCGTTTTACAAAGTTGTACAAGAGATGCCTGTTTGTGTGCTTGGTACGCCTGACGTCGACTGTGTCCCATAGCCACCCTCAGGTCAGTACTAATAGCCAAGAGGGGCCAGGGCTAATTATCTATCACGTGCCAGTTTATTTTTGTCACGTGCCAGTCCTCATCTTATGTTGCCTGGGAAATGTCGTACAGTAAGACGCTAGGACGAAGCACTTGGTATTTGCATTTTTCGAGTTTACATGTATATTTATTCCTCACTTTTGAATTTGTACAGAAAAGCCCCGCTGTAGTGGTATGATGGTAACAAATAGTATGTGACTACAGATGCTTAATATCTCCCCCGAAAATAATACAAAAACTGAGGTGTTAAAAATCAATACTTTATGGTGTTATTTTATGACCACACTACAGGGGTATTTCTTAAAATCGCTGGTGTTACTTTGCACGCCTACACATCTAAGTGTTCCAATGCACGGGAGCGTGTTAGAAGTAACACCAAATAACACCAAAATGTGAAAGTGTTGGTGTAGTCCTCTGATAACACCGGGGTTGTTAAATTTAACACCTTAGTTTCTGCGGTGAACCCTATTTGCATACCAAAATAATCATAACTGGGCTGTACATAACACTCAAAGAATGTATGTGAAGCACCTGGTGCACTGTGTGTTTCAGAAGTCTTGGTTCTAATCTAGCTCCAAGTCATCACCTTGTTCAACTTTTAAAGGGTAGCTTCAATCCACGTTTTTGATTACAAACCTGTAAAATGCATCTTTGTACCTCAGTAAATCTTATTTCAACGTTGGTTTCACTATTTCAGAGGGAATGTCGATGCCTTTTTGGTTTTATGCTGATGAGTATTTCCATATTCATGAGCAAAACTGTGATGTCATCTCAGGAAGATGTCTCAATGTTACATTGGTTTGTACACAAAAAAGTCCTGTGACTTTATAGATTTTCCTGAACTAAGTTTTTTCTTCTTTGCTGATTCCTTGTTGTTAATATGCATAGCAATAAGAAACCATCAATCTGTCTCTCAGAAGTGCTCTGTGTTAATGAATTCTGGCTTCATTTTAAATACTGAACCATGTCTTCCCTAGATGATTTCACAGCAACAGCGCCCTCAGTTATCTGGGAAAACATTGATAATGTTGATTGTTTAAAAGTGTGGCCTTTTCAATTCATTTAACCAAATAGGAGTGTGTAAAAGTGTTCATACAAAGATCCGAAAAAAATGTGTTGAAGAAAAATTCATTTCAGCTACACTTAAAAACAGCATGGAAGATTCATGCTTATATTTACAGTTAGAGTATACATGTATGTAATGGCCATCAGCAGATTCGATCCCCCCAAAACAAGAAAAAAAAAGAAAAGAAAAGAAATATAAGCGAGGTCGTCTACAGCATGGCGCATTTTTCCCACGAGCTCACGATTCCGTTCTCAGTGTTTACGCAGATTCTGCACCAAGCTGAAATTGACGGTGGATAAACTCTCTGGAGGGCCGTATCCAAGAACTAAGTTGCCATGTTTGCAACCCTGCACCGGTGGTATGGTTGTCTGTGCAAAACGTACATCTGATTCAACCGGGGGGGGACTCTGCGGTCGTCAAGCTATCCAAACATTGGGTCCCATATAGTCAGACCGATGGCGCTGCCAATATAGGAACTGATACCATATGGCAGCGGTCGGGGTATTCGGTTTGATTTTTGGAATGCACCAAGACTGTCAGGGATGTTCTACCATAGTAAATTACCAGCACAAAATCCATCTGCAAGGTTAAAAAGCAACTGCTCATTCTATATTGCTTACATTCGTTTAACTTAAAGGTGCAAAGTGTGTTGATACACTGAGATAATATGGGTGCATTCCAATCGTAAGATCCAGGTGTGAAAGACAAATGTACGACAGCAATGCCCCTTTAATGCAATTAAACTATTACGCTTCACAGTTCATGAAAATCTTACAGAAACATTCCTAGTATTCTATCGTTATGTCCTGCTACACTTTTAAATCGAAGTGCCATTCCTGAGAATAACAATCAAAAGAAGCGGAACAATTATTATGCAGTGAGTGGGCAGGTCCACTTTCTGGACAAGGTAGCGCTTGTAAGTTAAACGCAGCATAGTATAAGGAAACTTCGTGGGCTGCTCGATGGAGAATTCTAATTTTGCGAGCTGGTTTTAGTAATGGTCTGAACTATTATCCCTTCAAAATTGACGGAATGTGAGCCTGTACAGGAAGAGAGAAAACAACCCACGTACAGTATCGCACTGTCTTGTTGCAAAACAAACGTAATTCCACAATATCTTTGCCATGTTATATTTCTGTATTATACTATGAAATAAATCGTCTTAAGTGCTTGAAATATTGTCCAGTTTGCGTACTCCCACACAGTACGTTAAAAGCCAACAGATGCCATTGTTCACAAAATGCTTTTTCTTAACTATGCGTAAGGGCTCTAAAGAGAATATCCGCTAAGTATATAGCGGAGGAACTTTGGTGTCTTGGCTGATTTGGAAAACACCATATCAATGAGGTGGTTAGCTACCAACGACCTGCTCGATTAGCTGATGAAGTTCCAGTGGGCAGTTCGCCAAACCTGTTTCTCTACGCTCGTTAGAGAGCACGCTTCTGGGCTGTCCTTAACGACAATTTCATATCCTGCATGGCTCTCCAGTCAGATTAATGTCGTGTAAGCTTTTAAATCTTGCTCATCACTGGCAGCAAAATATCATGATACGCACTTCGCTTTTGTCGAGAGGGCATACCATCAACTATTTATAGACCTTTAAATCTGCGATGATTTGGTCGGTGATAAACATGATTGCCGAGTAGGGTGTCTGCTTTTATTTAATTTGCCGCAGTGTGGGTCAGTATTAAAGATGCTGGCGTTAGGTGTGATAAATTTAGTTTTGCTACAGTTGAATTAAGGTGCATTTTTCTACAATTGAACCTTTACAGGAAATTGCTACAAGGTAGAAACACACCCTTAGCTTTCTTCTCAGAATCATTCGATTTATAACGATATTCCTATATCTTTTTCATTACTCGCAGAAAGTGAGCAAAATAAATTTCTATTCGAGTGGGACTTCCATTGCATGAAGTATTATCTTGGTT